GTGTGTGTGTGTGTGTGTGTGTGTGTGTGTGTCTGTGTGTCCTGCAGCTCTTTGGCTGTATTTGGTTTCTCACAAGCAGCCATACCTTCTGTATTTGCTGTGGATGACTGAGCTGTTTGTGGGATCAGGGGTCATGCTGGTACCGGTACCGGTCCCTGAAGCAGCTGTGTAACACACACAAGCTCTAGTATTTGGATGACGGTGTTAATAATCGACTAGTTTCAGCTCAGGGTTACAGAGTGACAGTTATGAGCATTGATTTGACTATGAAAGGATGAACGATTGGTAAGGAAAGGAACACAGTCAGTGGGCGGCCCAGTGTGCATGCTTCCTCGCTTTAATTGAACGCATATTTAAATGACTTTGAAATGACAAACCTGTTGCATATTCAGCTCCACTTTTCATACACACACTGTGGACAGCAGCTTGCATAACAAAGCGCTGCTCTTACTCCCATTGTTTCCTCTGTTCTGTTCTCACGTCCTTATTCACGCTCATCGCTCTGTGGTTCATGTGTGCGGTTTGCGTGATCAGATTGAATATGGCTTCTCTTTTATCTGCATAGCACTGGATCCTCGTCCTGGCTGCGTTCAGGGAACAGATTATGATAAATGTGTTCGTTATTGAAATCAGTCGTGCTATCTTATAACGAGAACATGAATCTGTTGAGCATCGATGAATACTGTGGAGAGAAAATTAAAATAAGCACTCTGCTTAAACATCCCAGGAGTATTTAACTAACCAAATGAAATCATAGTAAAAAAACAACAGAGACATAAGAGCATATAAATGACCAATGAAGTCACTCAAAGACCCGGTTAAGGGGAGCAGAGGAAGGACGGTGATACCTGACAGGATCAGCACCGGTTCTGCATGCATACCCAGAATGCTTCACCAGAGTTAGAGGAGAGACAGAGTTATAGACTCTTGAATTGCTAGGAATCGACCAGTTAATCAGTTTGGGTGATTATCAGTAAGAAGCACTTTGAATGAATGTAGACGCCGTCAGAGCAGAATTTAAATAAGGGAGCGATTCTCTACTTCACAAAAACTCCAAAAACCTTCAGCGCATTATTCTTTCTGGCGATAGCGTTAGAAGATATCTGAGCCGTTCACTTTATTCCTCTGTAGAATATATAACGCAGCAGCATCAGCTCCTGGTCCACGATACAGACAGGAGACAGGGAGGATCAGAAACCCTTCAGCTGCTACTTTAACTCACCAGATACTCCAGCCACGTAACTCTGCGTTCATGACAGGAGATCACACTTTAGGAGCCTCCTGACTCCGGGAATATGCAGCAACATTAAAGGTTTGTAAGAGCAGCCGTTAGAGAAGTAATCCTGGCCAGTCAGAAGCTCAGAACAGCACATGGCCCATTTCAAATACAGAGAACATGTTCCAACCATGTAATCCATCACATCACACTTCTATGTTCTCTAACTGATAGTTGAGTTCAGAGTAAGAAAGGTTCATTACAAGACAGAAGTAAAGCCGGTATTTCTGTCCGCCTCTAGTTATCAGTATTCATATAATATTAATATACGTAGGGCTACTTGCTTTGCTCAAGGAGCATAGACAAATACCAAAAGAATACCAACAACCATACATGACAGCACATAATATAACATGAACATAAACATCATAAAAAGCATGATTTGGCAAATTGATAAAAGACATCAGATTTCATAACCATACATTTCCAGTAATATAGGAAGAAGTGTTTGTGTTTCAGAGCAGAGATGAAAAGCAGCTGTAGACGTGGTGTTTGTGAAGCACTGCTGTCTGTCCGCTGACCTCCACCAGTCCCTGTCTCTTCCACCTGTGACAGGCTGCCACTGCCAGACCGCTGAAGTGCTCTTTGACCTCTCTCCTCCACCACCATCCGCTCCTTAGTCCTGACAGCACTCGTCAAACCAGCCTCCAGCAGCACCGCACGGCCGCCCCGTTCATCTCTCGCAGCCACAGAGCTGTTCGTTGATCTTCGATGCCACACATCACATGCAAATACCTTCTGTATCTATGTGGCTCATCCTTCTTTGACACAAATCATTTGTCATGTTCAATGACAGTGCTTGGCCTTGTTCTGAAGCTGGAGGAGGAGAAGGACAACATATTTATTGCCCCTGTGCTGCAACATGCACATTCTTTAATCAGAAGAAGAGACCCGAGCGTTGGAAGCCAAGAGTTTCTCCCCAGTGGTTGATTGCTCCACTTTCACACAGCTGTAGAGAGAGGAGGAAGGAGAGCCATGACACCCGACTGTACCCTACTGCAGGAGGACTGTTAGTCTGCTAACGTTTGATTAGAACTACAGAAAGATGTTGAAAATATCTACATAAGTAGCTGATTTAAAATGTACTCTAAATTAAATTGAGTTCCGTCCATCACATTATTCTCCAAATGGTACATGGACTGTACTTGTAGAGTTCTTTTCTAGTGTTGCGTCCACTCAAAGGTCTTTAACACTACATGTCATCATTCACCCATTCACACTGATGACAGGGCCACCATGCAAGGTGCTACCTGCCCATCAGGACTCTCTAACATTCACACAACATTCATCCATTCGGGAGCAACTTGGGGTTAAGTGTCTTGCCTCTGCTCTGCCACTGAGCCACGGTCGCCCTGCTAAACAAGACTAAAGACTAGCACACCAGGAATAAAGCTGTTAGTGCACTGACATGAATGTCTGCAATTGTACCCGAGTGTCTGAATGCTGATTGTGAATTTTTTGTACTATATAGTGCCTCAAAAATTCCCACAATGGAACAAAACAGTAGTGTACATGCACACTACTCTCTGCTAACAGTCCCACAATGCAATGTTCCACATTTGTAAATGAAAGTTACCATTGTATCTGACAGTGATGACACTAAATGATAATGATTTAAAACAAAATGTGCTGCTCGTAGAATAAGTAACTACTGAGTGAAAGAGGGGGATGTCACACGCAGCCTGAGTGCTCTCATGGGATGAACAGCAGCACTGACCGTGGAACTGTTCACATTGTGGATGCTGCGTTGAGTGCATGTAATGTTAAATGTGCTGTTGAGAAATAATCATGTTCATACGAGGCTTCAGACAGACTGTGTATGAAGCCTCAGCTTCATCCTCTCTTCATCAGCCTCAGCTGGGCTTTAAGCCCAATGCTAACATTAGCTAGCAACATGCTAATGTTTAGCTTGTTTGTATGCTAATTGTAGCAGGTTAGCATGCAGTCTTATTTTCAATAAGCTAAAGAGCTCACTTGAAGCTGGTATTGAAAGTAATAAACCTGAGCTGACTATCTGATGTGCAGTAAGGATTACTGTGATGTTTTTACTTCCCCTGCTTTACAAAGGATGCCATCATGTTGTGAAGAGGTTCATATCCAGATTGAATATGTTCAGTTGTTGGGTCATGGATTTAAAATTGTTCCTTATCATGTGTGTGTGTGTGTGTGTGTGTGTGTTGTTCTCCCTCAGGTGGTGTTCAGTAGATTATGCAGCCCGTGTGACATTAAGGATCTGCTCTGTACAGCCCTGGGTGTGCCAAGGTAAAACACACACACGCACGCACACACGCACGCACACACATGCACACACGCTATGGAGGGTAGAAGGGATCACATACTCGTGTGTGGTTATTTCTGAAAGTCCCACATGTGTGCGTCTGTATGTCATTAGTACAACTCAGTGCACACATATGACTCCTGACACACAGGAGTGTGTGTGCACGTTTGTCTGTGTGCACATCCTGCGACTGCAGGTGCGTACGTTTGCCTCTGAACTGGGCTGACCCGAAACTTCAACCGTGGGTTAGGCTACCAATGCAGCGTTGTTGTTCTAATTATTATACTGTATAATAATAATACCCCAACAATCCAGATTCAGCAAAATCTCCCAGATTCAGATTCAATTTGTTGATGAATGTTTATCAAATCAACTTTCTTTTATGAATATAACTCCTCAGCTGCTTCTGTTTGTGTGCAGCAAGAGGGAGAGTAAAGCCTTAACAATATTTTGAAAGGTTGAACGCCAACAAATATGGATTAAGGCAGGAGTTCTTCTTGGAGTTCTTCTTGGGTAAAAAACATGTTTTGAATTTTGGAAATGATTATGTCTAACTTTTTTCAATAACTTTTGACAAGCTTCAGACTGGTTCAATGAAATATATATCTGTTATCATATATCATTTGATTACACATTCAATATTAGGCTATACATTATACATTATATCATTTTGACGACTTTTTAAATTGTATTTTTGTTTTTCCCCAAGACCTCTGACTTGAGACCCGTTATCATACACATGTCACATGTCATCTCTGTAACTCAATAACAGGATCAGATGTCAGAAGAAGCCTGCGGTCATTGAAGACTGATATCACCTCAGCATGGCTCCTGCTGCACATGTGAAGCTCAAGTTTGCATACATTTGGACATTGTCAATTATCTTTCTATGTTGCGTCTGTGCTCCATCAGTAGGAGGTGAAGAGAAGTGTCGTGCACTCACTCTTGTTGCAAGTGGTTTCAATACAACACGTATAGTAACACATAAGGACTACAGTGTACGCCTTACATGAAGAAGAATATAATCAAAAGTCAGAGATTTTCAACTAGCTGCACCACCAGTGGCTGTGAAGACAGGTGGAGTTAATGGTCTCACTTTGTTTGTATTAGATTTCGGTTAGTCTAGTTTTCTGTTTTATTGCTTAATATATGAACTTTTAAAGCTCGGGTTGGTCATCTTGAGAAATTAGAAAGAGTTCACGAAATTTTAAGAAGTACTGAACCACAAACACCCAGCCAGTGTTCCAATGAAAGTAGCTAGCAGCAGTGGCTCCAAAAGTTTCTAAATCTATAGCGAGAAGGTCAACAAGTCAGCAACACTGACAGCCAATCTCTTCAAACCTACCTCCAGATTTACAGAGATGTGGGGAAAAGAGGGGCAACAGATGCAGATGAGCCCTCTCCAGGAGATCAGAAGAAGAAGACAGAACACTGTCATCAGAGCAGCTGTGTTCTTAGTCCCAGTAGGCGTTAGTATTCTAGTAACTAAAATGACTTGTTCTGGTCAGACGTTACAACATTTGAGCGGATTTTTTGTGGCAGACTAATGTTACATTTGTAGAGCTGTATGCATGTTAGCATTGTCATTGTGAGCATGTTAGCATGCGGACACTAGAACTAAGCTCAAAGCACTGCTTTCTTTCTTAAAAACATTCCTTTATATGTTGTACCTGGTGTCATTCAATTGTCACGTTGTCATCGAAGCAGCATCAATGCAGCATCTGTTCTGTTATTGATCGACAGACATTGCTTATGATCCCTGGAGGAGGAATTCGCCTTTTTTGTGCCCAGACAACATCGATATTCAGTGTTGTGCTCAACAACACATGAGGATGGATGTTTTGCCCTGATGGAAGATTGGAACTGGGCCGTATGCATATATACTGTAGATAGATATATATATATATATATATATATATATATATATATATATATATATATTGCATTCATGCAGCCTTACACATGGCTTCTAGTAGAATTGAAACATGTGTTTTTGTCTTCATGCAGGAGCACTAATCTGTCCCTGCTGGATTCTTCTGGAGCCATGGTGTCCATCGACCCCACCATGCCACACAACACAGAGAGGTATTGGAAAGTCTGCATCCCACTGATGTCTTAATTGATAAATTGATTATTTGATAGAACATCTGCTGGCTGTTTGATTGAAAGACACATTCTCTGATTGGCTGTAAACTCCGGCATCCCTTGCTCCTTCCTCCTCAGCTGTGAACACATCACTAGCTCCACCTCCTCAGCTGTTAGCACATCACTAGCTCCTTCCTCCTCAGCTGTGAACACATCACTAGCTCCTCCTCCTCAGCTGTTAGCACATCACTAGCTCCTCCTCCTCAGCTGTTAACACATCACTAGCTCCTCCTCCTCAGCTGTTAGCACATCACTAGCTCCTTCCTCCTCAGCTGTTAACACATCACTAGCTCCTTCCTCCTCAGCTGTTAGCACATCACTAGCTCCTTCCTCCTCAGCTGTTAGCACATCGCTACAATGAGCTGCCATGACATGTGATCTTTATGTTTGCATTAGAAGCCCCCCTGAGTTTACCTGGAGCCTGTTCATTCATAAGTAATTAGAAATACAGCTCAGAGTAAATACGCCTAATCATTTTTATCATTCACAACATAATGTACCACTGTTGACTTTCTCTGGTAAAACGTTCTTCAGTAAACTAACACTGCCAACATGAGATTGGCCTTATGGTAGTCTTCCTATGGTGAAGATCTAGATTCTACATGTTGCACCCTTAAAATGAACCGTCCAACAACACGTCCATCTTCATTTTGCAACTTTTATTTACAAACCCAACGGTTAAGCACAAGCACATTTTGCCTTCAGCCTGCATACATCACGTTCTCTCAAAAAACTCTCTTAAAGCGACAGCGCTTTCTTCTAAAGGGTCAGTACACCAACTTTCTTCCCTTTACAGTTACCAAGCATAACTACTGAAGTAAAACAAATATGCATGAACTTAAACACATATTTAAAGCAAATTATTTTACATAGACACACTGATAGTAAATTAGCAAGCAATATGAAATGACATATTTCAGTGCGCTACACCCACATTGTGTTTTTAAATATGTATATTTGTGTTTCTAATTACTAATTATCAAGGATGTACAGGACAATTTATTCCACCATTTTATTGCTGCTCATGCAAATGTTTTTCTCAAAATCAGCGATCAACAAACCTCAAAAAGATTTGTCTCATGTTTCCTCACATAGAGGATTTCTTACAAAGGTTATCTGATAGCAGTGTCTAAAACAAGATTGAGCAGAGAACCAGCAATAGAAATATCTTAGTTGTTAGACTAAGAAGCACACTAAACATTTACAATGGGCTATATTACATTGAATTAACAATATTTAATAGAATAGAATTTGCAACAAGTAACCCAAGAAGTCTCTCTGAACTCTGTTAAGACAGAAGAATTCTGATGCAGAAGTATAATGATGACACAAGAGCAGTTAGCTTTCATTCTCTACAGAGCTTCTGTCTGTAGTTAGAGGCCAAAGTGCCCTCCGTCATTCAACTTCCAAAGCAAATGAATTAACATCACATCTTGCACTAAAGTGGGGATTCAGGGATACGTGCCCAAGAAAAAGAGAGCTAGAGGGCTGGACGGTGGTGGAGCAGAATTCCCCAGGCAGGCATCCAGAGGGCCGTCTCTGGAGGGTGACCAGGAGGCTGGAGAGATGAGTGAAGCAGGTCTGGAGGACGACCAGGAGGCAAGACCAAAAAGCTTGACTCCTCTGACGGCTGGCCACAAATCCGGAACCCCTCTGGAGGCCGGCATGGAGACTTAAGATCAGGAAAAACAGCTGGTACCAGAAAACTTGGCTCTGGCATGGGGCAGGCTGCTGGAACAGGTTGCTGGAGATCTGGACCAGATTCAGACAACTGGAGTTCAGGATTGGACTCTGGAAACTGGAGTTACCACACTGGAAGACGGACATGGAGACGGGACCACATTGGAGGCCTGCCACGGAGACAGGACCACACTGGAGGACGGACACATTGACGGTACCCTATTGGAGAACTGCCCCTGGGATGGGACCAAACTGGCAATGAAGACGGGACCTCTCTCAAGCATGACCCAGGGACTTGAAGCCAGGAATGACAGCTGATGAAACCAGGGAACCAGGAGACTGCAGCACCACAGGTACTGATGACTGCCACAGCTCGGCAGGAACAGGTATCGGCCAGGACTCCGTCTTGAACAAGGAACAGGTGTCGGCCGGGCCAACGACAAGGAACAAGGCTTGGTGTCTACTGGCGCCCTCAACTCAGGAACTGGTGTCAGTCGGACCACCGTCTGGAAACGAAGGGCAGTTTCGGCTGGATAGCTGACAGGACTAGAGGAGCAGGTGACGGCCCGACGTCTGGGCGTAGATCATGGCACTGGGCAGATGAGGCTCTGTGTCGGTGGGCAGCTTGGGGGATCGACCCACGCTTCCTACTACGAAATGACAGGAGGCTGAGAGTGAGAGTTTGTTGCAGACTGGAGGCTAACTGACTGTTAGCTGACAGGTAAGCAGGCTGGAGGTTAGCAGGCTCAACGCTATCAGGCAAAAAGAATAGATAGGTAACAACCTTGCTAGCCAGGGCCTGGAAGAAACTTCCCGGAGTGCTATAGTCAGATCTGCCTTCTTTTCAAGAGCAATAGAGGTGTTGTTGCTGCAGTACAGAAGGATCTGAATGTTGAGTATTACCTCCTCAAAGTTGTAGCTGGGAACATGTTTGGTCATCAGCCCGGATGGATGGAAGCCGGATGTGGTTCTGCCTGCGGCGGGCTGGTCGCTGTCGGTGCCCCACTGGAGTTGAGCTGAAGGAGTTTATGGTGAACCTGCATGATTTTGTCTGATTTGACATAGAATCAGACCCAGTTGCACTGATGACAAGCATGAAGAATAACTATATAGAAATAGACCATCTTCTTGCTGATGGTCTGGAGCAGGGGATCGGACCACGGATCGGACCACAGATCTTCCAACTAGTGGACAACCTGCTCCACCTCCTGAGCCACAGCCTGCCCAAGAAATCATGAATCATCTCGAGGCAATCATCTCCATAAACAGCACATGATATGATCATGTTTTTCAGAAGAGAAGACAACAACAAGTCACATTTAGTCATTATGTATATTATTGACATTAGGTTAGATTAGAGCTTTAAGTCAGTAACTGAAGACCATATAAACAAAGATGACACATCCAGTTTCATTCTTGGAGTGGAATTTTCCCAAGTTACTGTTCGGTCATTTAGAATGACCTTCAGAGATGCTACAGCCTTCTGGTGCCATCCAAAGCTTCCACTTTGACAAGAAAGAACAATGTGGACTGACTGAATTACTCCCAGTTACTCAACACACAAGCTGAAGCTGTCCATGGAGCCTGAATAGAACGGTCCTTTAATGATGATCTGGTCTCATTAGACAAAACACTTGATTCACTTCGTTCCCAAAGTTATAGACACACACATTCACAGTCAAACACATACACACAAGCACACACTGATAAGGGAGGACACTTTAATGTGTGTGTGTGTGTGTGTGTGTGTGTGTGTGTGTATGTGTGTATGTTTGCTATCTTATCTCAGGGTGAAATCTGAAACCCTTTATTTGAGTGTTGGTAATCTTCCTCGTAAACAGTGGAAGTGTGTGGATTGTGTGTTTGTGTGTGTGAGCATGTGTGTTTGTGTTCCCTCTTGAATGAGTAAGTGGGAGGAAGAGTACAGCGCGTCGGCTGAGAGGACAGAAGCTTCATACACCTCTGCTCTGAACTAACCTGTGTGTCCGGTTGTGTTGAAGGTCACCGTATCGAGTGGTGCCTATGACTGGAGGACAGCTAGCTGGTGAGTTCCAGGGACTACACACACACACACACACACACACACACACACACACACACACACAAATTCACTCAGAGAGAGTCAAAAGATGACATAAAATTTGAGTGTATTGTGTAGAAAAGATATACATAAGAAACATTTATTTTGTTTCGCCCAAAATCAGAAATTTTCCTCAGTGTTTTACAGTCTGTACACATGTGACATCCTCTGACCTTTGACCCTCACATCAGAACAGGAAGAACTCCCCAAACACAACTGTAAAACAATGAAGTGTAATTGTTATGATTATACACAAGCACTGTAACAGTGTTAAATGTGGAACACAGCAGTCATCAGCCCTGTCCTAAAGAATAAAATGATTTCAGGCTGGTCGCCTTGAACCCTGTGATGATGAAACGTATGGAAAGAATGATGGAACAGTTAGACCCACACCAGCTGCACACAGACACCACAGAGGCACTCATGATGCACCTGGTGCTGAACATCACAAGGCCTGAGCCACACTAGTGTTTGTTGACTTCAGTTACATGTAACATCCTGCAGCCTCACAGATTACACTGAATCAGCTTAACATCAACACATCAACACATTCAGAACTTGCATGTGTTTTATAAGTATTGTGCTTTAACATTATGAAGTAAATGTTGAGTGCACAATGTAATGACTGTAGAAGAGAAAGAGGATAGCGCTTCCCCCAGGCACCAAAGAGTAAGAACTAAAGCTCTTTGCAGTTAGCAAAGATGTCACTCTGAAGTTACAGTGGAAAACAGACTGCTGCTTGTCCTGTGTTGGTGCTGGTAACAAGCTCTGAGGATCATAGAAGGCCATCGGTTGGCTTTGCAAGAGCGGCTCCAACAATAACACGACTTGGAAACGCTGGGATGTGGATGATTTGACATGTAGGCTTCATACCAAATACGCCTCATCTGAAGATGAAACATCCTATTTGTTACCAGTAATACTCAGTAAACATAATGTTTTGGGGGAAACTAACTAACATAATTCATCATGTTTTATGTGTTGTCTGAGAGACAATCCAGTCCTCTTGGTCACTCCAGCGTCACTGGCTTAATTAATCACAGACAACAGTCTGCAGTGACCTGTGACCCTCTCACACATCATGGAATGTGAGTGACACAATGTACAAACTACTACTGACTGACAATGTCTTCTGTTTTTACAATGTCTTGTAGCTGTTAGTTTATTGGCCCATGGTGTTGAACTTTGTGCACGACAGTGGAGCTGTTGGCCAATGGCAGGGCTGTGATCGTGAGTCCAGCCTGTTGTCATTGTGTGGGAAGAGGAATCAGAAGTGGCTTGTTAACACATCAAGCTGTGAGCCGGCTCCTATCCACTGCACTCTGTTGATCAGCGAGGCTGAGAGCAGAGGGAAAGGGGCACTTTGATCTATCTTTTCTCTTCTCCCTCTTGTGACTCTGCCATCTGTTGCTTTGGCCATCTGACGCTCTCCCACTGACTTACATAACCTCTGCATGTGTTCATGTATCTGTGAGCCAGTGTGTTTCACAGCACTGTTGATACACAGCTCCACTAGTTTCTATTGTATTTTGATTGACATATTCTACCTCAGTGGATCCATCTGTTTACCCCAGACTCCTGTGTGTGTGTGTGAGTGTGTGTGTGTGTGTGTGTGTGTGTGTGTGTGTGTGTGTGTGTGTGTGGACCATTGGTGGTCTATAGAGGAGGCAGGGGAGGCGTACGCCCTGCTTGGTGCCATCATGTTCAAAAGAAACTTAGCTAAGACGTGACGACGTGCCTGATGGGTGCTCTACCAGTGGAGAAACCCAGATGTGGTTCCATACAGGCTGCTCTACATGCTAGAAAACCTTCTGCGTGCTGGTGCAGTTTTTATTGAATGTGCTTGGCCCCGCCCCTCAGACAGCCTGTCACTGGTGTGGACCAACAGTCTGTTGACAGTGTGTGTGTGTGTGTGTGTGTGTGTGTGTGTGAGAGTGTGTCTGTGTGTGTGTATAACAAAGCTCCACGCTTGCTCTCTCCTCAGATAAAGAGGAACTCTTTCAGAATGTACTGACACAAGTAGCAGAGCAGTTTTCAAGGTAAGCAGCTGCTGCTCACACAGTGGTGGAGCTTCACTGTCTACTCATTAACTCATCCTCATATATTTAGCTTCTATTACTCTCTTTTGTGTTTCTTCCTGTTTTTTCATCAGGTTGCTAATTCTTGTGAGTTTTTTTCTGTACTGTCAATACTGTTTGACAGTACAGTCAGTATACTGTCATCTCCAATACATGATATGAAATGCCTTTTGATTCATGCAACTGCTTTTAAAACTATTTCATAATCCCAAGAGGCAGGAGGACTGCCTCAAGTTACATCATCTTAAGAGCGGCAAGGCTTTCAGCCAGCAGCTGCAACATGTGCATATGACACTGTGTGTTGTGGTGTTGCTGTCTGTAGTGTGTGCAGATTGTTTGCTCTTTTCACGAACCTTCGACACTCAGGATTAGAGCTCCTTCTCTTCTTCAGCTCTCGTATCATGTCTTTATGTGATACATATTTACAAAGGGAGCAATGCAGCTGGACATTAGACCGTCGCTGTTGCTCGTTGTGTGTCACATACAGTGCAGCCACAGATTAGTCTGCAGTGTTGTGGAGAATGAATTGGCAGATATGATCTGAGGTTATGTAATTCCGTCTGATAGAATCATTCCTCAGTAGTCACAGCTACTGTGACGGCACTATTAGAGTAACTACAAAAAAATTGTTTGTAAGGCTGCAAACAATATTTCCACTTTTGACTAATCAACTGATTCACTGTGATTCTAATTTCTTATTGTTTAACAATAAAAATAAGAATTCAGTTTGAGATCCTAGAACCTACAAATGTTGTTCATTTGTATTTCATGATCTAAAACATGTAACTGTTAAATATGCACCTGCAGTGGAGGAGTGTGAGTGTCCGGTGCTGTTGTGTGATGGAGACAGACTCTCTCTTCACTTATTGCTCGTTCTCCGTCTCATCTGTGGCCGTCTGTCTGCAGGGCGTTCAAGATCAACGAGCTGAAGACAGAGGTCACAAACCGTCTCGCCATGTTGGAGAAGAGAGTAGAGCGTAAGTCTGTTCCCACCACCTCACTGTCAAATATACATATTCATACATTTATATGCTTACAAACATCAGAAATATTTACAATTTAGAAAATTAGTACAGTTTGTTTTGTATCAACTACTAAAGACTTGTAATCTCAGAAGAGGTGTTTATTAATGGAGATGAATGGACGGGTTTGATTCATCATCAATATGCACTTCCTGACTTCCTAATGTTGAGTCAATCAACAGTCCTCTGATATAATAATGAGGTGATTCAGTGACTCTGCTCAGTCACAAATATACTGACCAACAGGAAACTCATCATCATCATCATAATAACAATAATAATAATAATAATAATCATCATCATCATCACGTGTTCCGCATTGCCCCAAAATACATGTTTCATGTTCATCCAAATCAGGTACTTCTTGTTGTCTTAGCAAAGACTAAAATCTCTTTTTTAAAGATGTGTCAGTCTCATATCAAAATAATTCATATTAAATTGTTGGGTAGAAATTGGATTCTAAAAATATTTACACTCACAATGATGTAGAAGTCGGTTAAATCATTTAAGTACACGTTCCCGTGAGAACTGTTTCTGTGGATATCATCATTGATGACGGAGGTCATTTGCATAACTATCTTATTCCTTTGAGTCTGAATGCTGTTGGTTTATGTCTATATATGGGCAACTGTGACTCAGTGGTGGAGCAGGTCGTCCTTCAATCAGAGGATCGGTGGTTCGATCCCCGGCTCCTCTAGTCCATGTCCATGTGTCCTTGGGCCAGGCACTGGGCAGGCTGTTCCTGCAGTGTGTGTACAGGTGTGAATGTTAGAGTCCTGGTGGGCAGGTGGCACCTTGCATGGTAGCCCTGTCATCAGTGTATGAATGGGTGTGAATGGGTGAATGATGACATGTAGTGTTAAAGTCGGTAGACTAGAAGAGACTATACAAGTACAGTCCATTTACCACACTGGTCATGTGATACCTGGGTATGAGGGGGTAAGAAGAATAGGTAGGTTGTACTGTTCTCATATCACACAGAAAATCAAATGCATATTCCTCCTTTTATCTGACAGTTTAAAGTGCAGAGAGAGACAGAGGACATGGGGAGAGAGAGCTGGTTCTATCTATCAGTGTTGTAGACATAATGTAGGGGCTTACTGACAGCACCAGTGTTCTGGATGCAGGTCAATGCATGAGCATAGGCAGTGCAGGAAGATGCAGATAAAAAAGTCATTCATTACATCTCATTGGAGACTTGCTTAGCTGAGTCTTTTAACTCATTAACTCAGTGGCACTCACAGTGCAGTAACAGTAAAAAGTCACACCCACAACGCACGGTAAACACTGACCGTCAGCCGCACCAACCTCTATGTGTACAGGAAGCCGAGCTTCCAGGAGAAGGTTCAATAGGTTGCTTTTGTCTTTACAGCAGCAGAGGTCCAGCTATTAGATAAGTTACAGCGCGGGCTATGTGCACTGCTCACCCTCCAGAGGCTGTTGACCTCATGCTGTTATTAGCATCTACTGAACATTGACCTCATTTTGACCTGTTGAGAGCAGAACATGTCATCTTCACACTCACAGCCACCCTGGGCTCATGCACCGACGCCCTTTCCTCCTCAGCTCTCCATCATCACATTCCATTAACTGCTCATCATGCTGCACCAGTTTGCCTGCTTTGGACCTGCATGTCTGATGGCATCTTGGCACTCAATGTGTCACTTCTCTGAAGATCAAAGCCAGCTATAAAATATGATCAATAAAGGTGCTGTGATAGCCGGCTCGCTACGCTGCTTCTTTATAATATAGATCTCCGTGTTCTCAACAGGTCAGCTGCTGTAGTAATTACCCACAGGAACATTTAATCAGTCATGGTTTTGCAATCATTACATCCTTCCTAGTAAGGCTGTGATTAAAGGTCAAGTTGAATATGTGAGTTGTACATCGAGTCAGAGTTTTTCACAATCAACAGAAATCGGGCAGAGATCAGCAGCGACATAGATATTATCCCATAACACTAGTTTGCACATGCTCAGTAGTGATGTACAGATCAGGTAGTGAGTGATACGTGCTGTAGTTGTTCCTGTGTAGCATCAATGAGCTGATTCATTATAAGATAAAGAGACATCTGATTGGTGCATAGACTTGCATACTCACCAATACCCAACCCAGCATTTTAGGCTGCAAGGATTACAATGATACTATATACAACAGCATCAAATGATGAAGTTCAGTGATGTTGTGAGGAAGAGGCTAGACCTGCATGTATGTTGTGTAGAGTTTAAAAAGCTTAAAGAGTAACTGTAAGCTTTAGACTAAATGATATCACTGTGATTTGATGAAACACATCAACGCTGGTGTTAATATCAACATTTTTTACCAAATTCATAACATTGGCATTGCATGGTTGAAAATGTCTGAGAACACATCTACAGTTTGAATGAGCCCCGATCCTGAAGACCGATTGTGAGATAAAGTCGACTGTTTTGGACCAATCTGCTTCATGAAGTGAAGGAATGCTAACGCGCTGTAATCAGACCCCTCCCCCCACAGCGTCTATCGCTCTTCACTGTGTCGTTAACCACAGTGTAGTACCATCACAGCACCACACTGTTCTGTCCTTTCTGTGGACTGGACATCAAGCTATCAACACATTACAACCTCTGCTCAGTCAATGTGAGCAGCTTTCCTACGCTGTGTGTGTCGATGAGGCAGTGTGGTGTGTCATTATTGTCAACCCCTAACCCTGTATGATATACTGTAAGTTCATCAAATTCAGCGCCCCTTGCCATATTTGTTGACACTGCGTTCAAGCTCTTGTCATGCAGAAGTGGGCGTGGTTTCATCTCTTAGGCCCTTGCCCACATTTTTTGCATTTTTCAAAATGATGCAGTGTACTTATGCTCAGACCTGAGGCTGTAGTAACACTTAAAGACTTGTGTTCATCAACTCTGAGAATACAGTGACTGTTAAGAGTAAAACAATATTCAAAATGACCTTTACAACGTAGCTCAATGCATTTTGATTGCATGTTAACATGGCGAAGGTGCTAACTGCCCTAACAGCTTAAGTGCTGAGAGAGCTAACAGTGTTGACCTGCGGGGGGATGGGTGATGGATTACATCGCTGGAATATGTTCTGTTTATTTAAAATGGGCCATGTGCTGTTCTGAGGCTTATGCCAACAAACAATGTATGAAGTGCATGGCAGCCTGGATGTTGTGGATAACATGATCAGACAGGAAGGTCTGTTCAAGATCAAGTGCCTGACTCATCACAATGATCCAATACATCTAATAAATATTGATTTTTGGATCGATAGAAATCCAATATTGCCGTAAGTTGGAGCAGTCCTTGTAGTATTTTGCAGCACTGTCCACAATGGCTGTAAACTCTGAGAATAGGCTCAGATTTATGTCTATCTGAAAGTTAATGCTTGTCATTAGTGCCACCAGTTCAGATTGAACAAAATCAGACAAAGTCATGCAGGTCAACCAAAAACTACTTCAGCTCAGCCTCCGGCGGGGCCTCCGGCAGCGACCAGCCTGCCACAGACAGACCCACATCTGGCTTCACTGCAGCCTTCGACCTGCTGCAGTCGGAAGACCAGGCTAGAGTAGAAGAGATCAGCGTCTCCTTCTCTGGCCAGGAGCAGAGCTTTTCCTCTCTGCTCCTCCGGTCCCCGCTGGGAGCCAACACCAACACCACCTTATTGGAAACCCAAGCCGTATTGCTGGAGGGAAGGGAGGCACAGGAGAACCAGAACCAGGACTGAGCGGGGCAGACTGTCAGACCCTGCGGCAGTAGAATGAGAGGTTTTTACCACAGGTACCGCCTGAATCAACTTAAAATGAAAATTCCTCGTAGTAAGTTTAAAGAAGTATTTCACCGCTGGAAAGCCTTTTCATAAAGCTCGGCTGATTATGCAATAAAAAAGGCACAAATTGAAATTGGTGCTACATGAGCAGATAGAACCAGAGAAGGGCAGAAAACCTTCAACAAGCAGAATGCCCTGGGCTCTTTGCACCATTATCCTCACCGCCTCGGTGCTGGCAATTAGAAAGGAAGTAAAACATTGTTCACTTGCATATACCACCTACATTGTTGTGATAAAAAGCTGATCCAAGGGGTCCATTTGATATGATACAACTCACATGCCAAGACATCCCTTCCTGTGCCCTGTGAAAAAATGGGGAACAAATCCACAAAGTCCTAGTTCTGTGCCCAAATGTGTTCTAATGTTGAGCCCAAACAAATACAGCGGTCATCTGGTGTCTTAGTCCTGGCTGTCGTGTACGTGTGTTAACAGTGTTTTGCCTCTGCATGCAAAAACTGTGTGGAAACAAAATGGTGTACTAAGAAGAGTGTAACTTAACTACTGGAGAAGAAAGAACCCTAACCCCACTTGAATTCTGTAAAGGGATATTTCAGATATTTTGAAATGGGGTTGTATGAGGTACTGATCCATAGTCAGTGTAGTACCTGTGCCTCCCATTGCAGAACAATGTACTGCAGAGTCCAAACTAAACCTGTAAAACACCGAAGTCTAACAATAACACAAACTAACTAACGCTAGACCAGTATCTCTCATGTACTGCGAGGTAAACATATTGTTTGTATGTAATCTATGAGAGCATAGATAACGGCTTCAGTTCCCCGTCAGAAAGGGTCGTCTGAAAGGAGGGTGAAGCAGTGATAATATTCTAAATATACTCTGAAACTGTTGTTAAATACGTTAGCTGCTTCCCCAGTCCACAGCAGTACAGTGCTTTGCTCTCATGCTGGCACTCCTGTTTGTTTCTGCTAACTCCATCTACTGTCAAACACTGACGATGGAGAAGAAGCTCATAGAAAGACACTGCAAAAAATTAAGGATTTTGCTCAAATCACTTAATTCTTAGCAAATCTAAACTACATTGTTAAGGTGAGTCTTAAAAGATGTCAAACACTGAGAGGATCTTAGGATGGATCTAGTTACTAATAGAGGAATAAAGTGTCAGATAACCATGGTGT